GATGTGGGACTCGATCCCGGGACTCCAGGATCATGACCTGAGCCGAAGGCAGTCGCTTAACCAACTGAGCCACCCAGGCGCCCGATTTGTCATTTTAAAAGCCCTTTGGTGTATGTTTTTATGTGATTGTCATAGGCATAAAGGTTGGCAGGGTCATGTCGTGGGGCTTTAGAGTCAAAGAGACCTATGTTTGCATCCTGGCTTGTCCACTTACTACCTGTATGCCTTTGAATAAGTTACAGACACTCCCAGAGTCTCAGCCTGCTCATTGGAAGGATGGAAATGATATTTGAATAATATTGCTGAGTTGTAAGGATTAAATGAGGTTATGTCTATAAGGCATGTAACAGAGTGTGTGGTATATAAAAGGTGCTTAAAAGCTAGTAACATTACTATTATCTTCCTCATTTTACAGTGATGATTCATTCAACATCAAATACTTGCTCAGCACCTGCTGTGTTCCAAGGACTGTACTAGATGCTAGGCATACATGGTAAAGAAGAAAGACATGATCAGTACCTTCATGCAGCTTACAGTCTAGTGGAAGACACAGATTAGTTCATAGTTAATTACAATACATGGTGAAAAGTGTTGTCATGGGGAAAGAACAATGCCTGGGATGTCAAGGAGGGACACCTACTCCAACTTGGAAGTAACTGACTCAGGGTTACACAGTTGATGAATGGAAGAGCCAAGACTAGAACCCAGGTCTTCAGAACTCCAAGCCTGGTGTACTTTTCACTTTACCATGCCACCTCTGTTATTCTCAGTAAATTACATGTGGGTTGGGTACCATTTTCCATTTATAGCATCATCATCATCTATTTCAGGAATGTTGTGTGACACATGAAATACTGAAGAAAGTGAGCCCCTTAGAGGCTGAGCTCCTGAAAGATCCTAGCATGAAGTGTAAAGTTAGATTCAGGTAATATTTCTATGCTAATTTATTTCAAGAAGCACTTGTTAAAATGAAGAAACCTTAGAAATTTATTTTCTCAAGTCCTCATACGTTTTCAGGGTATAATTACAGAATAAATGTGTTATTCTTATTTACATTTATTATGTGAGGAAACTGAGGCATGACTCTTGGGCCGAAAGCTGCCTTGAGAGTGGCTTATCTCCCATGATGTGTCCAGTGTGACAGGTGAATGAGAATAATTGTGAGTGCACACACTCCACTGTGGCTCTTCCATCTCTGGAATCCATATCATTGCCCGTTCTTTCCGTGCTCTGGCAGAGCCTTTACCCTGCATGCAGGAAACTATGGGAACTATCTTAAGTATAGGAGGAGAAGTAACTAAGCCCCAAGCCTGATGCCAAATCACTAATTTTTGGTCTTTATTTCAGATTTAGTGGTGAAACATTTCCACCTTTCATCGTATTTAAAATTTTTCTTCATACTGAAGGCCATGGTAACAAGTATTTCAGTGGAAGAAATTTATTTAAGCCATCAAATGAGGTGATGTTTCATGATGTACATTTTATGTTGCTTTATTTTTTAAAGATTTTTATTTATTTGAGAGAGACAGAGATAGCAACAGAGAGCATGAGCGGGAAGGAGAGGGAGAAGCAGGCTCCCCGCTGAGCAGGGAGCCCGATGCGGGGCTCCATCCCAGGACCCCGGGATCACGACCTGAGCCGGAGGCAGATGCTTAACCAACTGAGCCACTCAGGTGCCCCCATTTTATGTTACTTTCGCTTCTTAACATCTATGTAGTATCTGAATTGCATTCAAAGTGGACAGACTAAGTGTTTTCACCATTAAACAGCCCAGCAGCCAGGTAGTATTTTTTTAATCATCACGTTTCAGGGTGTCTCTGTTTATTAGCTAAAAAAATATTTGGAATGGATTACTTTTAGAGGCCCTTAAAAATACTCATCACTTTTCTTTGTATTTAATTTTGGCTTGTTCATGAGAGACTCTTAACTATGGGAAAGAAACTGAGGGTTGGTGGAGGGGAGGTAGGTGGGGGGATGGGGTAACTGGGTGACGGGCATTAAGGAGGGCACGTGATGAGATGAGCATGGGTGTTATACGCAACTGATGAATCACTGAACTCTACATCTGAAACTAATGATGTTCCATATGTTGGCTAACTGAATTTAAGTTAAAAGAAAAGAAAAAAATAAAATTTTGGTTTCTTAATAATGGACTAAAGTGGCCCATTGGTCAGGGCTTTTAAATTATGCAGAACATTTGATGCCATTTTATTTTAAAGACATTTTATCATGGTTTCTTTTTTTTTTTTTTTTTTTTTTTTTTTTTTTTAAAGATTTTATTTATTTATTTGAGAGAGAGAATGAGATAGAGAGAGAGAGCATGAGAGGGGGGAGGGTCAGAGGGAGAAGCAGACTCCCTGCTGAGCAGGGAGCCCGATGTGGGACTCGATCCCGGGACTCCAGGATCATGACCTGAGCCGAAGGCAGTCGCTTAACCAACTGAGCCACCCAGGCGCCCTATCATGGTTTCTTTGATTCTGGTAGCATATTTGGAAAAAAAGTGTGCTGGACTATTGATTGAAAATGAACTTTTAAAATATTTATCCTTCTTTATATGATTTCTCATACTTTTAAGTTTCATATATATTTACCATAATTGTGTCTACAGCATAGGAATCACCTGACAATCTTGTTAAAATGTAGTTTCTGGTTCATTAGATCTGGGAAGGGACCTGAGATTCTGCATTTCTAACCGGTTCCCGGGTGCTGCCACTACTGCTGGTCCATGGACCCCAATTTTAATAGCAAGGATCTGCAGTGCTGCTACAGTGTAGGTTTTGCTCCTTTGGCCCTTAAACATGACTATAATTGAGGAAAAAAAACGTGCGCATTCTCATACTTAGCCTTTTATAAGTCATACATCAAAGGTTATTTTCCTGTAGCCTTCTGGAGATATTTTACATGAAAAGTATGGCCCATCCCAAATCATCAGTACTGTCACATGTTCAGGATAGACCACTCAGCCTGGGAGTTTCTGATCAGATACAGGATGTACAGCATTTATTCTCTGAAGAATATTAGAAAAGAAAAAGAGACTGCTTTTCTCTGTGTTCTCAGGCAACATCAGAGAACATTTCATTCAGTTTCAGAATATATCAAATGGACTCTGTGTTTTCATATGGAATATGGTGTTCTGGAAACATTAGTATTTGTTCACTTGTATAGAATGACTTCGCATGCAAAAGCTGATATTTATCCTACGCTCAGGGAATAACTTCATGCCACATTCATGTACAGAATAAGCTTACCATTCCTATAAAATATCATCAAGTGTTGCTTTTCTGAGATTGCATGATGAGACTTTTCCAGGAACAGAAATTCTCCTGGGTCAGCTCCTGGTGGCCCCTACTGTCTGCAGGCCGGAGCAAATGAGAAACTTAAAGGCTGTGACTGGAAAGGACTGTGTGTATATTAAAACTCATTAAAATGCTCTATAATAACTTTAGTTTTTATTTAAATTACAAAGTGACTGTTGGGAAAAAAGGAAATAGCACAGAGATTTTTAAAAAAGGAAACTGTGCCTCATGCCTTTCTCCTCTGCGCTGGGCCTTTCACTGGCCTGGGGTGAGCACTGCTAATAGTTTACTGTGTATCCTTCACTTTTTTGCCCATAAAAATGCTCACACAAATATGTTTTTTAAAAATGTGTGTTCTTATTATACAAATGTGATAACACTGTTTAGTTTGAGTTTTTCACTAAACATTCTGAGAGGATTTAAATGATGAGAACATGAAAGAACAGATTAGGATTCCTTTTTCAGCTTTGTAACAAACTGGTAACACTTGGATTCACGGTTGATAGAAAACCTGTAGAAGGAGAATTTTTCTCACTATAAGTTTGCACCAGTCCTTTGAATGTAGAAACTGTGTGTTGAGCAAACTGATCCAACTTTCCCAAGTTCACTTCTTTCTCTCTTTTTTTTTAAAGATTTTATTTTTTTGAGTAATCTCTACATCCATCGTGGGGCTCCAACCCACAACCCCAAGATCAGGAGTCTCACACTCTACTGACCGAGCCAGCCAGGAGCCCCCACTTATTTCTTAGTATGAAATAAGTCAGTTTTAGTTCAGACGTGTAATTTGAGTTCACTGATGCACACAGTTTTGTTGTTGTTCTGTCTTTTCCCTGGTTCTTACTTCCAATACTAGTTTCATTTCCTTATCGTTTCCCAACAGTATTTCTCATGTATTTACACACACACACACACACACACACAGAGTAAAAACAAGTGAAAGAACATAAAATAGCCTAAACCGCTTTAGAGAAGAAGAACAAAGGTTTTCATTACCTGACTTCAAGGCTTAAAAAGCTGCAGTGATCCTGACAGTGTTGTGATGACTTAAAGACAGACATGTAAATCAATGAGATAGACTAGGGAATTTAGAAATATGTGCACTCATAGATGATCAGTTGATTTTCATCAAATGTGCCAGGTCAGTTCAAATGGCGCTAGAACAATTGCATAGCCATGTGTACAAAAAAGAGATCTCATTTCAGTTACCTACTTCGATGATCTATTTTCAGAGCAATGCTTATTTACGAGGGTTGTCACTATAGTTCATCCTCCAGCTATATTTAGAATATTCTAAAGCCTTGCTACTCAGAGTGTGGTCTGCAGACCCACAGCACTGGCATCCCCTGGAACTTATTAGAAATGTGGACTATCAGCCCCCACCCTAGACCCACTGAATTAGCACCTGTGTTTTAACAAGACCCCCAGACGATCCTAGGCACAATATAGTTTGACAAGCACTGTCATAAAGGTGCCCCCCCCAACACACACCGTGGCCTGGAATGCCTCCAGGTAATTGCCAGTTCTGAAACATTAATGTCCAGCAATGATTCGTTTAAATTGAAGATCCCTGTTCTTTTTGAGGATTGGGCATTTATGTAAAAAGGAAAAACATTATTATTAATAAGAGCTGCCCTTATTGAGCACTATCAAGTACTGTGTTAAACATTTTGTGTGCATTATCATTTAATTCTCATAAACTCTAGAATGTAGATTCTGTGGCTATCTTCCATTTTAAAAGACTAAGTCACTTGCCTAAGGTCTCACAGCTAGAAAGGGAAGGAACCGATGTCAAAACCCAGTGATCCTGATTCCAGAGCCTGTGCTCATAACCACTCTTGAGTCAGGAAGCCTGCTCAATATGTTCTCTTATACGGCCCCCTGATAACTCCAGTGAGGTACATGTTATTCCCATTTTTGCCTGTGAGGAAGCTGGAACTCGGAGAGGCTTGTCAGGGGCAGAACTGAGGCTTGAATACTCCCCTGTCTGTCCGCCGCCCTGTGCCCACTTCAAGGTTTAAACAACCCCAGCAGGTGTGCTGGTTTCATGAATTTGGAGCCCATACATAACTGAACTGCTCCAAACCAGGAAACTCTGTGCCTGTGCAGGGATACCAGTTATTGCTACCTTCGTGAGTGAGAATTTCCAGCCGGGCGGGGAAGTGACTTGAGATAGTAGAGTAACTTCACGAGCGCAGGTATGGGGATCTAGGCCAGCACGGAGCTGCAGGCCTGTGGGGGCTTCTGGGCCACAGTGATGCCAGGTATCAGGGGAGGTGTCAAATTTAGAGATGCCCCCCTTTGACCTTTTGAGTCACCCACTAAGAATGGAACCTGCCTCTTGAATCCTAGTCTGATTGGCGGCTATCCTGGGCTCCTTGCCTCGTTTCCACCCTTCCCTTTCACCTGGGGCTGGGCCCTTAACCATCCCTTCCGACCCAGAAGCACTTTCCTGAAGCTGGTCATCTCCAGCAGATACCGGAGAAAGAACATCCTGGCCGTTGGAGGGCAAACTTTTTTCAAGCCCCTGTCGCAAGTGGGCAGCGAGCCTGCCCCATGCTGCCAGGCATAGGGTTTTTTTGGCTGGATACTGGGATAGGCCTGACACAGCTGAGCCACACAGCTGAGGCACTGTACAAATAAGGAAACTGGGGCTTGGAGAGGTTGTGGGTGGTGGCTGAGTGGAGTAGAGTGGGGAGGGACTGACAAGAAATACCCTTACGGAGTAACTTGAGCTAAAGTACAGTTATAGCTAAAGAAATTCTCCAAAGCAGAAATTGTACAGTTTTCAGACATGTTCTCTGTACAGTTTATTTGCTTTTACCTTTAGTGTTACTGTGAGGATGGTTAATGAGAGCCCACAGGAAACTAATTGCAACAAAGCATAATGGTGACACATGCCAATACTGCCTTCTCTTTAAGATGCATACTGTATAAAGAAACTAATGAAATGGAAAACAAAGATGATCTGCCTAAAGGAACGTTCATCACATAAAGTTTCTGTCCCTTCAATTTAGTGCATTAGGAATAAAACTACAACCATTTGAATATTCTTTCATTTTCCGTGTGTGTCCACGTTCAAAGCTTTGGAATTAGAAAAATAAATAAAAAAAATATTCTCAATAACAAAAGTGAAAAATGAAATGGAAAATACATTCAGGCTCATTGTTGTATTGTGTGTTAAGTAAAAAGAACACATTCCAAATTTCGATCTTGTCTCAAGTGGCCTCATATCAGCATTATAACCTGGAGTTCCCATGCTTTCACAAATACACATTCTGAGATACAAAGGGAAAGAGAAACCGATCTGGAATCCAAAGATACTTGAATTTTCATCTAAGCCAGTCTCCCTTCTCATGAGCATATATTTTGTGGCCAGAAGCACAGATATGTAATATAAATATGTGTTAGAAGAGTCAGCACATACTTATGGGGGGTGGGAACGAGGGTGGGGAGTACTTAAGTCTCTACTCACAGTCTATGTATAGCTCTTAGCAAAGGATGGGCGTTATGTGAAAGGGTATGGTACAAACAGGGCCAGATGAGACTTGGGCCTCCGTATTTTCTAGCATTCTTCTACCTCTGCCCTATCAGGGGCTGTCCTTGAGTACAAAATGCCAACATTTCAGAGAGAAAAAAAAATGCTTTCCTACTCTGGCCACAGAGAATGACGTCTGAAGGAGAGGGAGGCAATCTGAAACGTACATGTTTCCATTTGGGGGTGAGGTATTAACTAACACATAAAAGAGAGCTGGCCTTAGTAACACCTTTCGCTGCAGTTCCTAGGGCAACCTATTTAATAACCAAGGAAGTTTTCTCTGCCTTGACAGCACGAATGACGCTACAGATTTGTTTTGTTAAGGGAAAAGAATGTTTTTTAAGGGGGAAAATACCAGATTTTTAAAACACTGTGGTTCTCTGAGGGTTGTAGACTCAGCTACTCCTCCAGCTACATTTTAAAACTATATATGGTTATGGAAACAAATTTTAAATGGTTTAAAAACTCCTATACAATCTTTTCTTTGTAAATACGGTCTTTTTATTGAATAGCAAGCTGCTAGAAGAAAGGAACAATATTTGATGTATTTGTCAGAAGAAATATGTAAAATATGCACTGATAATTGTTGCTATTATACTACTGTTTTAAAGGTCTATTTTCTATTCTCTTTATAGGGAGTGGCTGATGCTTGCAAAATGATGGGGAAAAAGAAGTTTTACCATCAAGTTATGGAAGATGAACATCTTTTCCAGAAATTCAAAATAACTGATGAAATAGATATTGTCACCCTGAAAGATTACATGCAAGTAAGGAATTGAGATTTAGATATTAGAAACAACAATTTTAAAAAAACCTTCTGGGGGCATCTGGGTGGCTCCGTCGGTTAAGCGTCTGCCTTCGGCTCAGGTCATGATCTCGAGGTCCTGGGATCAAGCCCCTTGTCCGGCTCCCTGCTTAGCAGGGAGCCCGTTTCTCCCTCTCCCTCTGCCCCAGCCCCTCATGCTCACTCGCTCTCTTTCTCGCTCTCAAATAAATGAAGTCTTTAAAAAAATTAATCTTTAAAAAAGCCTCCTGACCTTGTCCTCCAAGAAGAAAGTTTCACTGTTTTCACTATAGAAAAATACACACAATATAAAATTTACCATTTTAAATGGTACAATTCAGTGACATTAAGTACATTCACAATGTTGTGCAAACACCACCACTATCTAGTTCCAGAACCTTTTTGTTGCCCCAAAAGGAAACCTCACATCTCTTAAGCTGTCACTCCCCATTCCTCCCCATCACTCCAGCCCCTGTCAACCACTAATCCGCTTTCTGTCTCCTTGAATTTACCTATTCTGGATAGGTAATTCTTGTATAATTCTTGTATTAATGGAATCATATAATATTTGGCTTTTTGCGTCTGGTGAGTGATAGCTAATGAATGTGGGCTTTCTTTTGGGGGTAATAGAAATGTTTTGGAATTAGATAGGTAGTGCTACTTTTAAAATGGTTGAAGTGGTGAATTTTATAGTATGTGAAATCAAGTACATGGTTTTGAAAGAGTGCATAATGGAGATTTGACCTAGTAAGAAAGGGTTCTATTAATATTTGGATTATTATTTGGATGCTTTGTAGTGCTCGCTTCGGCAGCACATATATTATTTGGATGCTTTGTGCTCCAAGTAACAGAATACTCCCAACCACAAGAGGCTTAAACAACAAAGGACATTTATTGTCCCATGTCAGAAGTCCACAGATAGGTGGGTCCTGGGCTAGCTAATGCAGCAGCTCAAGGACATCAGGGTTCTGGGTCAGCTTCTCTACGGTGCTTCACACGGTGACAAGATGACTATCACATTCTCGACTTCCTTCAAAGGCGGGAACAAGGGGACTCTGAAGCATCGTTTTCCTTTTTATCGCAAGAAGAAAAATCTTTGGGGGCACCTGGGTGGCTCAGTTGCTTAAGCATCCAACTCTTGATCTCAGCTCACGTCTTGATCTCAGGGTTGTGAGTTCAAGCCCTGTGTTGGGCTCCACACTGGGTGTGGAGCCTACCTTAAAAAAAGAAAAAGAAAAAAGAAAACTCTTTGCCAGAAGCCCCCAGCAGACTTCCCCTCAGGTCCCACTGGTCAGAACTGGATCACATACGCCCCCTAACCTAATCACTGATAAAGGGAAATGGGATCATTTTCCGTGATTGACTTAAAACAATCATGGTTCATGTGCTGGGGCCCTCCTTCCTGGAACATATTGCTGTTCCATACTTGGAAAAAAAAAAAAATCCAGGCTCTGGAGGCAAGGGAGAAGTGGGAAATGGTTGATGGGCAGGCAATCAACAATGTGTCACAGCGTCAGTCCGGGGCTGAGCAGGTGTTGCGCCCCAGGCAGAGGCTCTGTGGCAGGAGGAACTGCAGGGCCCGAAAGCATGTCTGTGGGGTAGAGAAGAGGGAGCAGAGGGTTTGGTATGTAGGCAGCCTGGAGGGCTGGGAAGAGAGCATCAGGCATGCGCGCCTGGGTGGTTCAGTTGGTTAAGCGACGGCCTTTGGCTCAGGTCATGATCCTGGAGTCCCGGGATCAAGTCCCGCACCGGGCTCCCTGCTCAGTGGGGAGTCTGCTTCTCCCTCTGACCCTCCCCCCTCTCATGCGTGCTCTCTCTCTCTCTCTCTCTCATTCTCTCTCTCAAATAAATAAATAAATAAAATCTTTAAAAAAAAAGAGAGA